GTAGGAAGTGGTGAAGGAAGTAATAAAGGTGAGCAGTCTGGAGTGTGGAAACTGTTTATGACGATTAGATTTAGGTATCTGCAATCCTAAAATGCTATTGGAAGGGAAGGAAACAGGTCCGCGACGTAGGATGTGATGAAGGAAGTAGTAAAGTCGAGCTGTTCGGTGTATGGGATCTGTTTATGACCATTAGATTAAGGTATTTGCAATCCTAAAATGCTATGGGAAGGGAGGAAAACAGGCCCGCGACGTAGGAAGTGGTGAAGGAAGTAGTCAAGGCGAGCTGTCCGGAGTGTGGAAACTGTTTATGACGATTGAATAAGGTATCTACAAATCTAAAATGCTATGGGAAGGGAGGAAAACAGGTCCGTGACGTAGGAAGTGGTGAAGGAAGTAGTAAAGGCAAGTTTTTTGGAGTGTGGGAACTGTTTATGACGATTAGATTAAGTTACCTGCAATCCTAAAATGCTACGGAAAAGGAGGGAAACAGGTCCGTGACGTAGGAAGTGGTGAAGGAAGTAGTAAAGGCGAGCTGTCCGGAGTGTGGGAACTGTTTATGACGATTAGATTAAGGTATCTGCAATCCTAAAATGCTATGGAAAGGGAGGGAAACAGGTCGGTGACGTAGGAAGTGGTGAAGGAAGTAGAAGAGGCGAGTTGTCTGGAGTGTGGGATCTGTTTATGACGATTAGATTAAGGTATCTGCAATCCTAAAATGCTATGGAAAGGGAGGGAAACAGGTCCGTGACGTAGGAAGTGGTGAAGAAAGTAGTCAAGGCGAGCTGTCCGGGGTTGTGGGAACTGTTTATGACGATTAGATTAAGGTATCTGCAATCCTAAAATGCTATGGAAAGGGAGGGAAACAGGTCGGTGACGTAGGAAGTGGTGAAGGAAGTAGAAGAGGCGAGTTGTCTGGAGTGTGGGATCTGTTTATGACGATTAGATTAAGGTATCTGAAATCCTAAAATTCTATGGAAACAGAGGGAAACAGGTCCGCGACGTAAGATGAGGTGAAGGAAGTAGTAAGGTGAGCAGTGCAGAGTATGGGAACTGGAAACCGTTTGTAGCAGTTAGATTAATGTACCAGCAATTCTAAAATGCTATGAGAAGGGATGGAAACATGTCCACGACATAGAAAATGGTGAAAGAAATAGTAAAGGCTAGCAGTGCGGAGTGTGGTCAATGTTTGTGTCAATTGAATTAACGTATCTAAAATACTAAAATGCTACGGAAAGTGATGCAAACAGGTACACGATGTAGGAAATGGCTTAGGAAATAGTAAAGTATGAGCATAGTGTGGGAACCGTCTGTGGCAGTTAGATTAATGTATCTTCAATCCTAAAATGCTATGAGAAGGCATGGAAAGAGGCCCCTCGACGTAGGAAGTGGTGAAAGAAGTAGTAAAGGCTGGCAGTGCAGAGTGGGGGAACCGTTTGGGCAGTTAGATAAATTTAATGTATCTAATACTTAAATGTTATGAGAAGGAAAGGAAACAGGTCTATGACGTTGGAAAAGGCGAATGAAGTAGTAAGGCTTGCAGTGCAGAGTGTGGGAACTGTCTTTGACAATTACATTAATGTATTTGCAATCCTTAAACAGGTCCATGTGTAGGGGGTGGTGAAGGAAGTAGTAAAGGTGAGCAGTGTTGAGTGTGGGAATGGATAAATTTATCCACAATTCTAAAATGCTATGGGAAAAGACTGTAGACTGTAGGTTAAAACTATTACGAAGCACTAATCGATACATATTTCGATACGGTACATGCAATCGTTTACAATAGACATTTACAAACAAGTTGAAAACAGCTGATTTTTACTCCATAGAGGCTAAAAACGATTTTTACTCCCTAAAGAGTTAAAATGCTACTTTTACTGCTACATACGATTGTTTTTACTGCAGTATTACAAAAACAATATAATATGAACCCTTGATGATTCCGCTCAATTTTGTGGATGCCTCTGCGAACGCCACCTAGTAACTTTAATTGCAGGATGATGAATTATTGGAAGCAACCACAACTCAGTGTTCATCGAGGCTGCCGCTGGTCTCCACTTAAAGCAAACTATTTAGAGGGGGAAAATACTACACTCCTGCTTTTGTATGTTTTACAAATACTCCTCCTGAACGGCTTAAGCGATCCGCACGAACTTAGCACAGCCAGTAGCCAACTACGTGAAGGTGAAGGTATAAATCTAAAATGGTACAAATAGGACAACGGGACTTTAACTACGTAAATTTAAACTTAAAAAAAATGTACATGGGCCTGTTTGAATTATGGCAGAGGACACGCGTCCGGTAACCGGACAGGAATGAGGCGTCCGGCAGTTACTAACCTAACCTAACTAATCAAACTTGCTGATAATGAAAAAATCGAATTAGGGTTAAATTATGTTTATACAATAAAATTATAAATGCCTCAAATTCTAACAAAACAGGTACAGTTAAGAAGAAATGACATTCTAAGCAAAATCTGGGACAAAAAGTTAGTATCACCAATTGGGATCGTTCTGAATACCTCTTGGACATCAGCCGAGTACCCTGTGCACTACGCTTAATTTTTATTTCAGCTGTGGTTTTTTAATACGGACAAAATGAGAATTAATTAATTGATTGAGCATTCTATTGGCTGAGGGAACACCATTACCAGAGAGATAGAGCACCAGACTGATGCGCAGAAGATAACGAGATCTATAACATTTTTTAACTCTTATTTTGTCCGTATTACAAATCCGAAGCTAAAATAAAAATTGTGCATCCACTACACTACGAATACCAATCGTAGTACACCGATCGGCTGTACATCGTATCGTTGCGGGTCGAGTTCCAGCAATGGTGTTCCGGGGCCCGACAACCCGCTGACGTCACTGCCGGACGCCTTATCCACGTCCGGTTACCGGACGCGTATCTCCTGCGTTATATTATATAGGTTGCCATGATAGTAGTATTTAGCAAGCAAGATGACAATTAATACTTGTTAATATAAATTTTGTTAGCTACGTATAAAATTAACAATATTGCCAAGTGTTTTTAAAATATAGGCCATCCATAAACAAGCAAACTAGGGCTACAACAGTTTTATCCATAAAAATATCATGGGCATTTTAAATTTAAAATTAGTTAAATTATCTCCGTGACCGTAAGGCATACAACAAAATCTGTAATGTACAAAATTATTTATATTTTAAGCTCTACAAAATAGTACAGTATAGCAAAATTTTTTTGAAACTTTATGTTTTTATTAAAAAAACAAAATAGGAAAACCAATTTTACCCCATCAGAGCTCGTCAAAATCTCGTTCCCATAGTTCGATTATACTGCTTTGGGATTTAGTTTGAATTAACGTTTGCTTAAATATTTGTACCAAATTTAATTAAAATATGATCATAATTGCTCAAGTTATTGCGCTAACGGGTAAATAATTATAGAAACAGGTAGGCACTACATGCTGTATAGGCTCTATGTAGGCTCATATATGAATTTGAACGAAGGGTTTTTTTGGCTTCTGAGGACCTCAAAACGAAAATTAAATCGGTCCTAGGTCTTACTATGCAACCTACGGTAATAGCTTATTCCCTGTATGGAAAATTCGCTAAAAGGAAGAGAAACCACAGGTATGGAATGTATTTCCTGAAAAAAAAAAACATTGTTTAGGGATGTTTTTTAATATTGTAAATTTATTGTAGTATTTTCGCATGAGAAGAGCTTTGGCGAGCTAATGACATTGAAGACGACGCAGGACCTTTGAAAAATTCACGAGGTTTTGGATTTCTTGTATACAAGCAGAGAAGATACCTAATTCTTAGAGTTAAATCTGATACAAGCGACAGGACACATATTACCACGTCGACAATTATTTTGTCGATGAAAATATTTGTATTTTAAATGCATATTTTCCGTATTTAGCATTTGCCAGTCCAAAACTGAACAATATAGCCTAGACATGAAAAACGAGCAGAAGTGATTGTGTGAGCGAGCGACTTGACGCCTATTATGGCCGGTGCCGTAAGATAACATGGGGAGCGTATTTGTCGCCAGTGGTCGCTGGTCGCGAGTCGCTTAGTGTGGCCACCTCCGTTTAATTTAATGTTATGCACTTTCATTCATTGTCGCCGCGACAAAGTCGCCAAGTGTGGCCCTAGCCTTTGATAGGCCTACTGCCAACAGACATTCCATTTATGTGAACCAAATACAATGACTTTAGATATTGCAGATAGACGTCTGGTCTGACGTCTCATTTAAAAATGTGAACCAGATGTACCATTTACTTTGGATACAAAAAGTAGACATCGCATTGTCGGGATTGTCATGAACCAGATGCAACATTATTGAGTTAAGATCATCGATCTCTATAGAGATCGATGGTTAAGATACAGCATGTTAACATCCCGTTAAGCCGGGTTTTCCTAGGCGCGGAATCGGCGAGCGGAGAGAGAAATGCGGAGAGCGAAATTGAAATTAACATGGCATTCCGCTCCGCTTCTAGGAAAACAGTAACATTAAATTGCCTAAGACAAGTGGAGTCCGCTCTCCGCGTTCCTCTCTCCGCTAGCCGATTCCGCGTCTAGGAAAACCCAGCTTTAGTTAACGTGAACCAAATATACCTGCAAGTAGACATTTCATTTACGAGAAATAGATGCAGCATTGACTTTGAATACTGAAATTAGAATTTACGTTAAACAGACGTTGAATTAACTTTGGCATAGTATCGGATATGCTTGCTACGGTCAATGTTGCAAGCAAACCACTGCATTGCAGAAATAGCTTAATTTAATACCAAACACTGGAAGTAATATTTTGTACTAATATTAATTCTTCTAGTTATATATCAATTTATAAAATCATTGATATAGTGCTAAGTAAGTATTGAATTTAAGTTGACAATATTTAAAAGGCTTTGACTTGGGCGTCTTGTCTGTCAGTCTTTTGACATGTGCTGCTATCTATGAAGCAGAAAGTGAAGTAAAGTGCTGTCTAACCACATGTGGAGTTTAGCTATTGATGTCAAATTTTAATAAATTTGTGTAATAATTGTGCCAAGGAAGTCTCTTTTAATATAAATTTTTCTGTTTTAGTGTCAATATTGTTATTTTTTGTGAAAGTGTCAAACTGAGTTGTGTTTACCTATTGATTTGCTGTCTCATGGTAGTCGGTGTTCTAAGCAAACTGTTTATTATTTCTCGGAATGAACAGACAATTGATTGTTATTTATAGTAATAAGGATAATATTGGATTTTTATGAACATAAGCTCGTCGTTAGTTTAAGTGTTGTTTATTATTGTACTGTCAGTGGGTGGATCTGAAAGTGTCGGTACCATGCTTTTGCAAACAATGGTGTTTTCTATTGCGGCCATTGTTAACCTATAATTAACTGAAGTTATGTATTTGAAAATCGCTGTAAATTTTAATTATTTTTACAGATCGTGGTTGTTTTTCATATACTCTTTGCACCAATATCGTATTTTATAGATAGCTGGAGTTACAAACACATTTAAATACCGTGTTTTGATTGTTGTTTCCTCTTATTGGTTATTACAACATGGCGGCCCAAGTGGCAAGTCAGTCGAGTGATGGCCCTCAAAACAGAGACAGTGCTGGAGGAGTGTCGTATGCTAGTGCCGTGCTTAACTTCAAAAATATGGATAATAACAAGGAGAATATCAATGCGTCAACTGTTGGGACTACACCAAAGGAATCTGTGACAAAAGAAACACCTGTTAAAAATAAAACAGTTAATAATCCTCAACAAAAAACTGGGAGACAGCCTGCAACTTATGCCACAGCAAGTAAACCTAGTGCAAGTAACGAGGAGTTTCCCCAGATTAACACAGCTGTAAGTAAAACTTCTAGGAAGATGGGAATGTCAACCAAAGGTGATCAATCAAATGTAAAAAAGTCGTCACAAAATTCTTCTACTATTTGTGATAGTGCTGACAGTGTTTGCAATAGTGATATTTCGGTACAGCCTAGTCCTAGTGTCGATTTAGAATCAGAAAGCGTGGATGCCGACTCAGTGGAGGAAGTTCCTGAAAAGAAAAAGTTTGTCGAGGCTCCTTTACCAAAGATAAATCCATGGACTAAAAATAAAAATGCTGCATCTGTGATAACAGGCAAGCCGTCTGATACCCCATTACCTGTAGCATCGCCTGCGCCAGTTCCAGAGAAGAGAGTGTTACAACCTCAACAACAGGGAACAGTTGGTAAGTCTTAGCATAACCCATTACAGATAGGCTACCTAGTTCTAAACATGTGCCTGTGCCTTTTATTATTTTTGACGTTTCAGAGTTACCGGTACCTTACTTATAGCCTACGGTAATTACTTAAGGTGTTCAAGGTTTGAACCAAGGTATGGGCTCTGCTCCCACAGGCTGATTTCCAAATGTCTGCACCTTGCATTCTTTCGAAGTACCTAGCCTACCTATTATCAGGTAGGCTAGGCTAACTTTTTTCAAGGTATCCTATGATGCTAATCCAGCATCCGATGATCCGGCAATTTCAATAATCTGGTATTGGTCTAAAGGTCGTAGAGACAATAATTCATAGGCTAACTTAGTATATTTATTTTTTTGCTCATTTGGCAAAGTTGAGAGACATCTTGCATAAAAGGCAGATGTCAATTACTTAATAAACTTAGGGTTAAAGTTTTATTTTGACTGGTAGGTTATTTTTTACACAAGAACTTACTATAATAACACATGGGATTTGATCTTAAAATTTTCTAAGGTGCAGATTAACTTCTAGCTTGCTAACCTACTGTAACTTAATTTTTTCTGTCTCTCTCCGGTTTTGAATGCCGGAAGAGGTCAGATAAATATTATGAGCATTTCGAGTACCAGAATGCGAAGTTTGAGTTATGAAAGTGTTTTACCGAAAATTTAAGACACTTACTGAGGTGTTGGATTCTGACAAGATCTTTCATCACGACCCTTAACTTAAAACTTTCACAAGCATAACCTTTATAGGCCTAAATTGAGCTCAAAGCTATTTATACGTCTCAGTCTCAGGCCATTGGTGGTTAAGTTAGCTGTGGAAAGAAAATAAAGCAAATTAACAATGTATTTTTACAAGTGGTATAAATTACTGAAAGTTTTGTAAGTTACTAAATGGCGTTCCCTTGCAAAATCAGTCCTGATAGGACGAACGTTTTTAAATCTCTACACTGTTTTAACTACTCTGCTTGGGTACAGTTCCGCAGAGAATTAGGCTACTTAACATTATTTGATCGGATGAAATTTGCATTGGATACCTATACCATATAGGCTATATTGATTAAAATTTGATTTGTTACAGGCCTTTGTTAGGCTACCTACTTAAAAAAAATAGGAAATTGATTTTCAGTCACCGTAACTTAATGTTTTTCTATCCGCCAATGGAGTCAGATACTGTATCAAAGTTTTGCCTTTAACTTGACTTATCACTACCGGTACCTATTAAAATTAGAGTGTTTTTTTTAACTCATAGGCCTAACATGGAATAATGGTAGTGGCCTGCCAGCCAACAATTTTGACACTGTAGGCCTAAGTTATGCCTATTTAGCAGTATAGGTCTAAGCTGATTTCTGTTATTTTGCAATAGGCCTAACGACTATTTTTGTGAAGATGCACACAGTAGGTAGCCTACATTTAACTAAGGCAAAACCACGAAACTTTAATTTCCGGCCCTGTTGATTTAGCCTAGTAACAATATCGCGCGACGAGTACATACTCTTCAAAGGGCCGTTTACAAACTATTGTTCCAATGCGAGGTTAGCCACTGCCGGGAGACGTTGTGTCGCTTGCCGCTTATTGTGCCAGTGTTATACTTTAATCTGGTATTTAACTTCATTTGTTTTCTATTGGTGGTAAGGACGGTTACATATTTATTGTAGTGTGGGGCTTAAAGGCTTGGATCTAATGACATGCAATAGAATAACATTGATGAATGTAGGCCTACTGTAGTATTGTGGAATGAACCTAACCTCAAAATTGTGCTTGACCGGTTTTTTGCAATATTTTTTGGTGTATTTGGGTAACACAGCCCTGTTTTTTCCCTCCATTTGACAATGCTGAGGGCCACGTAGCATTATTGTTTAGTGATGCTATTGGCATCACTATGAAATGTTAGTTTCTTGTAAAACTACATCCATAACGACTGGGGCGCAGTATATGCCTCTCCTTTGGATGAAACTAAATTTAAACGTTTTTGTGCAATCGTCCACGCAGCGCATTAGATGCTTGCGCCACCAGCTGCAGCCGGCCAATTCGCAACCGCAAAGAAACGTGTTACCGGTAATTACAGTTCAAATACATAAAGCCACATTTTTATTATTAAAACCACATGCCCTCTGGAAGTGAATTCAAATTTGTGGCATGTTTGTCAACACGCTTTTGTGAGCCACGCCAGTAGTGAGGACGGGATTACCACCTGTTGTAACACGTGGACCGTTGTTACTATAGGACACGACCCACACTTCATAGTCCATCTTTTGGATTTAATTTAAGCTACCGGTACCTCAGAAAACCGGGGTTGAGAATCGGGCAGTTATAAGTCCGGACAGTTTTTAGTCACATTTTAGTCGACAAGTTGAGACAGTCACATGAACCGATTAGTAAAGAGAAGAAATGGCTATGGTGGGTAAGAAAGTGGACACTTGAAAGGAATGCAGAGATTCTTCGATTGATTGCATTGTATACCTAGTGACCATTCAGTAGGGTACAACTCCAGGGACTTTTCACAGTTTCATTGTATTGCAATTTATCAGGCTACACGTCTTCTCTACGGTTCCGAAATAGCACAATAACATCAAACATCCAAAAACCGTTTAAAACAAACAACATTTCTGCCAGAAATGCAAAATTACAAGCTGTTGAGTACTGTTCACAACTGAAAATTATACCAGTTTGATCCAAAGCGAAGCTTGTCGTTTGTACTCTCCTTACTAAGTGAGGTCTGAGGGAAACACTACTGGTACGTATCGTCACAGAAAACTTACTAGTATAACCCAGAATGCCAACCGCATGGTAAAAAGCGTTAAGCACTTTGAGAGAGCTTTGCCTGTCAATTCATAGGCAGCGCCACCAGCGTTGCTATGCTGCGCTTTTTACCATGCGGTTGGCATTCTGGGTTATAGTAGTATGTTTTCTGTGGTATCGTTCCCATGGAGCGTATTTCACAAATGTTAGGGTTACACCTCCGTGTCTCGCTTTGTGGGAACGCATCTTAACTTATGCATGATTTCACTGGATATAATATACCTACCTTCACCTTTTTGAGGCACAGTCTTGCTGTTATTTTAGCCTACAGTAAACTTACAGTAGGCCTAGGCCTAGTGATTGTGTAAGTTTGTAGTGAAAGGAAATTTAGAGCTAGGAAAAATCAGCTGATCGATTTCCCTTGCTCCAAATTAGAGCTTAGTAAACAAATATTTTCTTTGATATCAGCTGTTATAAAAATTGTTACTTTCTCTATGTGGGGTGTTGATAAATCTATTCATATCAACATACCCCCCCCCCACGCAGCAAAGTGCCTGACTAAGTGAATTTCCATTTAGGTACCTTTCTAGATTTCTACTAAAATATTCTCTTAGAATTGTTAGATTTATTTCCTACTCGCAGAGTAGCCGGCCTTCGCACAGGGTTGACGTATAAGTACCTAGGCTATAAAAAGCTTATTGCAGTTATGGGAGAGGACATGGTTTAAGAAAACCCTCCCCCCATTCCTATTGTCTGATCATGCTGGTTTAAAAACTTGTTCAAATAAATGTAGGTTTACAAGTTTGTACCAAACTTAATCTAAATCAATAAATTTTTGCTCAAGTTATCGCGCTAACGGACACATTTATAAATAATATTTATATATATTTTAACGGAAAGTGATTGGCTTTTGGGGACCTCAAAACAAAAAAGTAAATTGGTTCCGGGTCAAGGTCCATGTGACCTACAGTAAAAGCTTAAAAAGCTTTTCTTATCCCTATTAGTTATAGGAAATTCATTAAAAAGAGATGATTAGAAAGATTTTTTTAAATTGTAGACTTCCAAAAAAAAAGTTGTACACAACTATTTTTGTCTCAGAACGATCGAACTACGAACGATATTAGAAAGCGATGCACAAGAGATTAGAAAAAGGTTTAAAAAAAAACATGCTTGCCTATTAACATATAGATCTTTGTATTAAGTTTTATTTCCTAAATATTCTTTAAGGAAATAAGTAAAGAAGTCACATTCTTTTATGTTGGCACCCAAAATTTAGGAAGGTTTTAATTGGTTTGCGTTTGCGAACCACATTGACAGCATTGACCAGTAGCAGCAGCAGCTATTGAGGCCACACCTGACTTACGACTGACTGGTTCTTGGAATACCACTTTCTCCCTAACTATTTGTTGACAATATAGAGCAGACTGGTCCTTATCACTCTTCCTGCTTGTAATATCTATATAGTAAACAACCCCTTCACACGGACATCAATGTTTCCTGATTCCTTGGTTAAGTGGTTGAGCATTGCTCAAAGTACTCGAATAAGGTTGGATCTGTAATCTAATCGAGGAAATCATCTAATCTCACAATATGGAATACAATCATATCTCATGATACAGAACTCAAGGGAAGCACATAGCTGTAAAACATAGATAATTTAAAATATTATATAAAAACTCCTTGTAGGCTTACAGCTTTAGTAATTAATCACATTTACTATTTTGCTACCAATATGAAACTGTCACATTATTATATTTTAAGAAAAATATCAAAAAAATTTTCCTTTTACAATTTATTTCAATATAAGTTGTGTGAGTCGAAGAGTTAGTTTGAATTATGTCTGGTTCTTGTTAGATAATGTGCTATTAGGATGGCCCCATGTATCTGAAGGTTACTTTGTTATCTTATAAAACATTGCCAAACGGTACAGTGCTACCAACTTGTACAAATTAAATTAAACTTAAAAACTAACACATTGGTAATTGTGGTTTAGGTCCAGTAAATAAAATCATTGCTGTAATCTCAAAGTCATTAAATTCATTTGCATAGAGTACAAATGAGGCTATTTGAGTTTCCTTGCAAATAAACAGATGAAGCTGTTATAAGAGTAAGATCTGGATGATGTTAAAAAGTCGAGCAAGTGAAATGCATTAGGTGATGCATTGTATGCTAATACAGTACACTGTTGGTTGATACCAACTTAACTGGGCAATGCACTGTCTGTAATGGAACACGGCTTCACTCACAAA